TTCTTCTGGAAATTTCCAAGATAAAAGGTTCAGTTGAAAGGCCTTTCTTCCTCTCCTTTTGTTTCTGTGACTTAATTTAAAGGAAGACACGATCAACGGGCTATTTCAGTTATCTCACCAGCGCAAGTAAAGATCTACTTTTCAGGGAGATGTTCCAGATTTATAACTCAGACCGACACTAGCCCAATTTATTTTAAGTGACCAGGGCACGTGGATATTTTTGGAAAAAAAGGGAAGGGAGGGCACTGTCTAGACTGGTTCTTTCTTAAGAGTTTTTTTTTTAATGTTTTCTTAAACTCCTGTGTTCAAGAGTTTGGAGGGGAGACTTTATTTTTCATTTGTAAAGAAATACTTTGTGCTTCAACTAAAGCTTAGCTTCTTCCTAATGACTGGGGCAATGTCTTTACACTAACAGTCCTTTCTGAGGAAGGATGAGATGAGAAAGTTAAAAGTTCTGCTATACATTATACCAGGTCTTTTGGAAAATGGAATAGAAGTGGTTACTAGATTCCAATTTCAGGGGACTCTGAAAATTTTAACAGAAAATAATAATGTACTAACAGCAGTAATGCTACTGCTGATGTCATTGGTCACTTCATTAACGCCCCCAAAACACTGTGGACACAGAAATAGATTGCTTTTATATTATACCAATTTTATTTTTGAAGACAATTTATAGAACTTAAAGGTGTAAACATGCCTTTCCATTCTGATGATTTCAATATTTTTTTTTTTAAAAAAGAAGTAATTTAAAGCTTCTACAGAGCTTTGCAATTTGCATATACAAAGTGAATTGCTCACTTAATTCATTCAGTCCCACAAGGGGAAAAATAATTAGAATACAACCTACAAAAGCAAGGCAGAAAATTGTCTTTTAGGTACCGGCTCATTTTCACTCGGTAAACATAAATAAATCATCATCTGTAAAGTACTGTCAGTAAAAGCGGGAGAAAAATTGGAAATCAAATCCTTGTTTTCTTAAATGGCTTTTGACTTGTCAGCACACCAGAAACATCCTTAGTAGCCTCACACAATGCCTACTAATTGCACATTTCTAACCGGAATATTCCAGTTCCTCGAGGGAATTTCTTTAAAAATCCAATTGTATTAATCTTCCCTTGAAAACACTAGAAGAAATGTCCACCCTTTCTTCCTCTAGTTACAAAATAATCCATTTGGAAAATTGAATTGTGTGATTTGTAATTGTTTTCTAAGTGGTTATTGTAAAACTCTATTGGTAGCAAATGAGACTTCTAAAGTATGACCACTTGGTTAATTGCTGGATATTAAGCATTTATTTCAATAAATAGTATTGTTTAGGATGGAGAAAATATCTGGAGTTTGGCTTTAAATAGCTAAGTGAATTTGGTGGTCCATTTTGGGGAATTCCTTAGTCGGTGGCATACTTTAATATTTATCAGGAATTTAACAGACAGTTGAGTATGCCTTTGTTTCATTGAATTCTAGTACTGTGTATATTTGATAGCTAGGAAAAGAGAGATCAGGAATTACACAGTAATTACATGTCTTCCTCATAGCTATCTCCTCGCCTCTTTGTTCAACCCTGCTGCAGCCCGAGTTTCAGTTAGAATCTCTTCTTTCCTGGTTGTCTACAGGGTTTCTCTGTCCTTATCTTGCCACCTGAGATCGTTTAAGGTTTCCACGTGTGGCCAGTAAACTGAGCTCTGCTCAACTCCATGGGAGGCCATTCCGGTGGATTTCATGTGAACGACACTCTTTGTAAATGCACAAAGAACTCGCTTCATTCATTATCTACTTTTATGACAGCAGGCTGCCTTCACCTCAGTCCTTAGGATCATTTGGAACCAGTTAACTCCTTGGTGGAGGTGGAGGTGAAGGTGCCCTGTGCCTTGGAGAACATTTGCAGCTTCCCTGGCCTTCCCTCTAGTACCTTCCCAGGTTTTATTTTGTTTCATTTTTATTTTATATTGGTTTGCATATGATGTTCGTTATACACGTTTTTTCACACTATCCTTTCACAGTGCGTTTCCTACCCATTCACTGTGTTTTATAAAGTTAATCACCATTGAACTATGGCTACCATTACCCCATCTTTCCAGATCCCTCCAGGATCTTTCCCATTTCCTTTACTCCCCCTCCCCCATCTACCCACCAAATTGTGCAACCCTGTGGTTTTCCCCCCTCCCCCCATCCTCACCCTTCTGCTCCCAACCCTTCCCCACTTGGGTCCCCATACACATTTTACTAGTTATTCTTCTATGTTTACAATCATGATCTTCCATAGTATTTGCTCTTATGAGACTGATTTACTTCACTCAGCATAATGCTCTCCAGTCTATAATTTTTAAAATTACCACCTTCCTAGTTTTGATAACTTAAAATGGGATAGCTGGGTCGTATGAGTTTTCTATGTTCACCTTTTTTTTTTGAGAAAACACAAAACTACCTTCTATAAGGATTACACCATTTTACAGTCCACATGTGTCTCCATATCCTCTCTGACCTTTATTGTTTGCTGTCCTGTTAAACGTTGCCATTGCTGCCGTGAGATAATATACCATTGTTGTTTTGATTTGCATCTTTCTGATTGGCAATGAGTTTGAACATTTTGGAGACACTCCTGAATCTATTATTTAATCTTTAAACTTTCAACCAAAACTATCTCTTGAAGTCATCTTTAAGCTAAATAGCACTTTAGCTCACTTTGGGAAGAAGAGTCGTCCCTGACAATAATGTTCTTTTAAAAGATTATCTGAGACCAAATTGACAATACGGAAGACCCACTGCCTCTGACTCATTTCCTTGAGGATGGAGCAAGGTCGCCCTATCGGCTTTCCAAAGCTGTAGATCGTTATGGAAGCCGACTGACACATCTTTCTCTCACGGAGCAGCTGGTGAATTTGAACCACTGAATTTTTTTAAAAATAACATCTAAATGCTTAACCACTGTGTTTCCAGGGCTGCTTTGTGCATAGACATGTCAGAGTGTTTTGTACAGCTAATCCAGGTTCACGCGTGGACACTGAAGTAAAGGGAATTAGGTTGGAAGCAGAGATAAGGTTGTGTTAAACCACGCGTTGATTGTAGCTTGTACTAAGATTGTTTTTGTTGTTCTTAGATGCTGTCAAGTCTTTTCAGAATCATAGCAAGCCCGTGGACAACAGAATAAAACGCGCCTTGATCTCCTGCCACCCTCACCGTCCGTGCTGTGCTTGAGCCGAGGGTTGCAATCACAGCGTCAATCCAGCTTATTAAGGATGTGCTCTCTTTAGCTAACCCTCTAATTCACCAGACATGAAGTCTTTCTCCGCTGGCCAGACCCTCCTAATAACACGTCCAACGTGCCTGAGAGGAAGTCTTCCCTTGCTTACTTCTAAGGAGGAGCTTCCAGTTGTAATTCTGCTAAAACAGATTTGTTTGTTCTTGTAGTGGTGGCACAAAAATAAAGTCAATAAAAATTTTTTTAAAAAAACGAAGCTGTTGTATCAGGTGACCACCGGGAGACAGGATTTAGTCAGAGGATGAGAGGTGTGTCGTGAAGTCACTGAAGAGATAGGTCAGGCTAACTCAGAGAAACATGGATATGATAATTCATGCTGAGAAGTTTGTATTTCTGCTATTCGAAGAGCAGGTGTAAGTTAAGAAGCCAGGAAATATCAGATTAGTTTATGCATCAAGGATATTTTCTCTGCTTTCACCTTGCTTCTTGAACCAAGTGTTTATTGAATTTAGAATAACAGATGAGAGAACTCCTGCAACATAACCAAAGGCAAAGATTGATCGAAGGCCCAGTGTTTGGTGTCATAGCTCCAAAGAATTCTGCTAAGAGGAGGTTAAGTTGTCCTTGGGAAAGGGCTATTTGTCTTGTGAATATTCTACCTTGAAGCCATCAAAGTGGACCCAGTTCCTACAGACCTCAGATGTGGCGCGAAATTCAGATGTAACTTAACGAAGACCGATGAGTGTAGGAACCAACACTGATGAGCCAACACCCTTTGTCAGGGGGGATACTGGGACCAAGAGACTGTTGGGGAGAAGCAGAAGAGAAAAATCTAATGGGGACCTGGCTTTTCCAAAGGTGTTGGCCCCATCTCAGCATTCTATACTCTAAAAGGAAGTGCTGTAATCTACAGCTGGTGAGCCAGTCCCAGCTTGTAGTGACCGTATATATAGGACAATGTAACCCTCTCCGACGCTGCAGTTTATATGGAAGCAATTTGACCCATCATTCTCTCTCAGGAAGACTAATGGGGTCAAACGGATGGTGGGGTTTAGCCTACAGCACTTGTGACAATTGAGAAGCCAGGACCGTATTAGAGGAGTGAAGTATTTTACCAGTCAAGTTCTGTATGGACTCTGTGTTACCATATAATACATGACTTGGCCTCATAAAAAGGGTCACTTTTTAAATCATCTGGTCTTCATCTCTGATAATCAGAGACCAAGATAATTTTTATAAAAGAATTTTTTATTTTTAACTGGACCTCCGTTCTGTGTTCTTCATTGCTTGGGATTAATAGTGAACATACTTAGAGTGAGATTGTGCAGAAGTGATGGAGTATTTGGAGGCTGTTAGGGTGGACAGAAGGAGCCCTGGTAGCACCTTGGTCAAGCCTTTGGCTGCTAACAGAAAGGTTGGTAATTAGAAGTCATTTAACAACTTTCTGGGAGAATGACTTGGTAATCTGATCCTGTCATGAGTATAACTAAGAAAACTCTATGGGCCACTTCAGTTCTGTCACATGAGGTTGCTGTGCATTGGAGTCAGTCCCACTTGATATGCTTTACAGAGTTTAGTAAGGAGAGGTAATTTGTTACTCTCCCTTGCTATGTATGAAGGCTGAATCCAAATTCACCTGAATCACTCCTTCCTTCCAGATACAGAGGCTTCACTGTCGAGTTGTACACCCCTGTGCTGTGCTTTCCTGCTCTCTGCACCTCACCTTTACTGCATACGATTGATTGGTAACATTTACTTGGGGAAGCGTGATCCACACATCTCATTCTTCATTTTCCAGGTTACCGAACTCAACAATGTGAAGAATGTAGCGAGATTGCCAAAGAGCACCAAGAAACACGCCATAGGGATTTATTTCAATGATGATACCTCTAAGACCTTTGCTTGTGAATCAGGTTTGTTCGGGGAACTGGGAGCTTTTGAATTTAGCCCTCAAGGGGCTGCTGTGCTTATAAGCTAATATTCTGGCCGTCTGTGCAGATCTGGAGGCTGACGAATGGTGCAAAGCCCTCCAGGTGGAGTGCATCGGGGCACGGATCAATGACATTAGCCTCGGAGAACCCGACTTACTGGCCACAGGGGTGGAGAGAGAACAGAATGGTAAGTAAAGAAAATTCACTCTTTCTCATTCCTGTGAAACTGTTTTAGCCTGGCCTGATGCCCTAGACAGTCAACATATAACATCCTCGTGTGGTATTTTCTGAGTTCTAAAAATATATGAAGAAAGAAATAACAATCTTGTAATCTCATTAACAACTGGTACTAGCTTTTAGATAAACTTCTTCTCCCCCCCCCAGTATATTAGATAGATAGAAAGATAGGTAGATAGGTAG